AGCCTTTGGGTATAAATTATTATAAAATTACGTGACATTATCCAGGATTGTCAGACAAAAACAACATTTGATAATGTAAATGCATATTTTTGTTTTGCTGTGGTTTCTGCTCAACCTAGAAAAATCCAACTCCTAGGTCTTAATTAAATTTAAGAAGCATTCTTTGATATTTAATGAAAAACGCTGCGAACCAAATGATCAATAATTAATTTGACATAACTAAACTAAAATAAAAAGAGACATTTCTTTAAGCGTATTCTGTTTTGTTAAATAATTCTGAAGCTAAGAACGAATGTTGAAAGAAAATCTCCCTTTTTCTGACCTCAACGAAAACACGCCTTCCATTTTCAGCTTAATTGGACCAAATGAAATTTTTATGCACAAAAGGAAGACCTTTATAATTAAATATGGGGTGAATTTTTAAGCCAAAACCGCCAGCAAAATATTTAACTTAACTCAATCTAAAATTTAAATCTTTATTACACATAATATTTCTAGATTACCTCGATTATGTTTACTGTTTTTCTGACATACCTTTGCACGAAAAAGCCTGGGCCAGTAGTTCCTTGACAGTTCGACGAAAACAACAAAAGATATTTTGGTGCCTCGACATTGCATGCGACCATGTCATTCAACATTTCTTTTTTGTTTTGGATGCGAAACTACATAAAGATGCAAATTTAAAAGAAGCAGGTAATGAACTAGGCTATTTTCAGCGTCAACAAATGCGCTCAAGTCCTTTCAGTAGTATTGAATCACTTTTAACAGTGATTAGATGAACATCACGAAAGTCCATCTTGTGCCAGTTCTCAATGGAATAAAGAAACCAAAGGATCCATGGCGATATATAATATTTTTCTCAAAGTATTTAATANTTATTTACGTCAACGTATATTTATCCCTTCTTATCGGTCCATTTTATCTTAGTGGTTGCATAAAAAATATACATATTATTCCATACTAAAAAGTTGGGTTTATGATCTCGACGCCAAACCTGACTGGTGTAGCATCAATTTGCTTTCAGTTTTTTTACGTTTCAATGAGGTTATCTGAAAAACGTTCTATCAACCATTTTTGACATCGAATAATCTCAAAAAGCATTGAAAAACACGTTTAGAACGGCTTTTAATCGACTTTGATAAAAATCAAAACCAAAATAATCACTCTGACCAATGACAAAGGACGCAGACAATTCATTGAATCAATAAACACTCGGAGCAAACACGTGTAGC